CAAGTTAATCGAAATCAATACAATATTGCCTAGGCCTCTTCTCCAAAGTTTCTGATTCGGTAGGTGTGAAATGGGGCCCAAGAACTCAGATTTCTAACAAGTGCTCTGGTGATGCTACTGCTTCTGCTGGTCAGGGTACCACACCCCGAGAGCCACTGATTCTATTCTAAATAATGGGTTCCTGTTCTGCCTGACTTTTACTACCAGCTCTTTTTATTTAACAATCGATAGATTCATCTTGTGTTCCCTATCGTCCTCTAAGATATTAACGACTTCTAAATTCCTTTGCAATCTGAAGCAGGCAGGGATTATTGAGACCAGAAAAAAGCAGATTTTCTCATTCTTTAGAATCCAAATTATTGTCATCTTACTTCATTTACCACTGTGCCTCAAATTCCTCATCTGTGAAACAGGGACAATAAGAGATCTCAATCAGATAAAATAAATAAAAGCCCTTGGAAGAGTATCAGGTTATATTAGCAACTTGATAAGTGTCATCACTTAATCTTACTGCAATTAATCTCACTAATTTTGTTTATTATTGAGGAAAACTTATTCACATTTGCTACAGGTTGAACATAACTGATTTATATAGAAAATCGTATCCATTTATGGTGAAATGTTCCAGAGCTCCAATGGGTTCAGTACACTGGGGAGGAGTGGGAGGTCATAATGTCAAAGACTGAGGTTCTAATCCCAGTTCTGCCACTAAACCTACATGACTCTGGGCAAGTCATTTAATGGAGTCTCAATTTCCACTTCTGAAAAAGCTTGCCCTAGATATGAGGATAAATGAGATAATGTAAGTGGATTTTTATTTTTCTTTAGTACCACAGTATTCCCGTCATGAGGAAAATGCCTCTATCTGAGTACAGTTTATAAGATATTAACTAGAGAGATAAATGGCCATGGTCTCTTACATCCTTAAATGACAGCACAATGATCTGAATTATCACATAAGCTATGTACTGAATATTCTCCGATACCACCAACTCATAACTATTTTTATATATTACATGCCAGAATATTTAGGATTTCAAACATTTTTGTAAAGTGAGAGAAAAAAACGGATACAAAAGTAATCTCAGGCATCTATTGTGTAGCAGCTGCTGAAATCCCCACTTCACAGCTTTAGCATAATTTTTATTCTGATGCAGAACCCTTCTATTGGTCCTAGGCTTTTATTTAGTATAAACATAATGTACACACACACACAAACACACACACACACAGATGTGTGTGAAATAATGGTAACTAACTGGTGATTTTCATGACTAGTTTCTAATATTTAAGATAAATCCAATGTTCTTAAAAAACTGCATACAACAGTTGACAGATGACTAAAAACTTAATTTAGTAAAAAGAAAATATGGGGGTTATAACAGTGTCTCTGTACATTTCAATTAAATTACTACTTTTTGTAGGCCCAAACAAAACTGGGCCACATATAAGCATTTTAAATCAATGCTTAATAATATGGAAAGATACAATACAGATCTCTGATAACGTTTGTACAGAATGTCTCCTACTGAAATCTAGGAAATAAAGTAGTGAAACTCATTTTTTGTAAGGAATATATTCCTAAAAAGCAGTGTATAATAAGCATTTTCAAATAAGATGCCATTAACGCAGCAACAATACTCTCCATTTCAAAGAAGTCCAGTTATAAAGTCTTGTAATATTTCTTTATGACAATCTCCTAATTTACTAATGTCTAAGTTTCTACTTTCATTTATTGAGCTTTCTCAATGTAGGAGATATACACATTCTACAGGACCCTGGAGACTTTAAAAGGCCTAAATACAATTTAAAATATGCTTTTGATATTTTTAAAAAAGCTACATAGAAATTGTTTTTTATCAACTGTACTTGTTAAAATTGATTAAAATTTTTTTAAAAAACTAGTTTTAAGATACAGATAATATGAAACAAGGGACAGCAAAGACAGAACACCATTCTATAGATAGGTTTCTGGTAACTGTAGTTAAAATCAAAAGGTAGATAAATCTGAGCCCCATGTCTTCCTATCTGTTTGTCATCACAATATTCAAATACCAACTATTGTTAATATATTTATTCCATTGTGCTCCCAGAAAACATAATAGATCTAATTCCAAAGGCATAATACATGTGTATTCTTGCAGATGCAGTGTTTAGAAATATGGGGGAACGTAAAATCCTACTGATCTTAAGGACTAACTTATATGCAACAGGAAACAGTAAATTCAGGTTAGAGGGCTTATAAAGGTTATTCTCGAAGTCTTCAGTTAGTCTCACTATGGACCAATTGCATTAGGAAACACTCTAATGTGAATTGCTTATAGCTGTTTATGTCTCCACTTACTGCTGATGAAGTCACAAGAGACACCTTTTATACACATCCAGAACATCACACCAACTTGCCTGACGTTTACAGATATAAAATCTTCAGTTGGTACAAGTGTGTCTAAGTGGCTTACAAAACAATGGGTAGAAAGAATAGTCTTGGGCCTGAATTAGAAATGTCTAAAAAATACTTATAATGGTATTCTATAAATATCTTTAAATGAGATATTTGTAAGTCTAACCCATAGGAAACTCTTTATGTATTTGTCATTACTCTGGTCCTGTAAACTTAGTTTGTTTACAATTTTGTAGCTACATTCGTATAAGCTGTTACCACCACAGATAAAAGGAACTCAGATGTGTATATACTTCTAAAAAGGATGTAGTTGCACTACCCTTTTGTGTGAAAGCAAGAATATCTAGGGTAACCACCACTGTCTTATAATGAAGGTTAATTCAGTAAACTTAACATGCAAGGTAAATTAAGCTTTATAATTTATCCTACCAACAAATTAATAGCTTATAATAAGCCAATGTGTCATCTAACCATTGTATTTACAGAATTCTGAACTTCATAAAGAACTACTGGTAATATTCATGTTCACTTATATCTAAGAAATTCAGTTAAAAAGAAAACATCAAAATCCCAATTGATAATTGACCTGCAAAAGTTTTCCTTTGTACTGAGTAAACTGTAATAGAGGCTGCTAAAAAAAATGTTTGGGATTTACTCTCTTACACTTTGACTGCTGACCACAACAGAGGTGAAGACTGAGGTAGTCTGAAAGTACTGTGAGGATTAGATCAGACTATATTCTTCATATTCTCTAAGGAAGGAAGCTTTAGGCTGTGTGGAGCACCCTCAACTTCCAGGGGCCAAGACCAACAACTGCTGCAATGAAAGAGCAGAGTAGTTAGGGTCAAGGGGATGGCTGCCTTCTACGGTGAAACTAGCTTGCATATCTATCTGTTGGCATTATAAAAGTCAACTCTATTTCTTTGAATTAGGCAGTGGAGATTTTGATAACATATGGAGATTTTTAAAATAAGATGTTGTTTTAAATCAAACATACCAGGGATACTCTCCATTTCAAGGAAATCCAGTTATGAAGTCTCTGATAAGATTACCCAAATAAGGATCCTCTAAAGTATAAAATTACAATTCAAAATGCATTATGATATATAATAGGGAAAGAGTCTACTGACTTGTATTGCACATGAGTGATTAGATATACCACAAATGACAAATAATATAAAGTAACTTACAACTGATATAAACATAATTGGTTTGGCTAAGATGTTATCATGGAGTTTAACTGAAATGATCAACAAAAGCAAAATCAAAAGCATCATACACGTTTCAGGGGATGTTGACAGCAGTGAGCCATTTAAATAAAACTGTGGGCAACAAGCACAAAGATGGGTTGTAGCTGTGACTACATGATGTTTTTACTTCTCACTGCAAACAATTAACTAACTGCTAAAAAGTAAAGAAGTGTTTTTTTTTTTAATTAGAAGTAGAATTTTTTTTTTTGCAGTAACAAACTAAATCAATTACTGCCCCAAAAAGAATGGTTACAGTAGAGAAATACGATATAGGTGAAATGTAGAATGCATTTAATCTGTAGAGGCAAGTAAACTAGATTCCTACAAAATAAGGTATCTTTATCTTAATTAGTCAAATAAAATCTAGATTAGGACTTTATTTCTTCTTTTATAGTTAGTTTTGCATCATTTCACGTGGTTTCAGTATTTTCACCAAGGAAATCCCTAATTTACTGGAATTCTAATATTACAAGAGTAAGCCAAAGTATGCATCTTTTTAAGTAGTAGGGAAAAAGATTCCCTTCTGAGTAAAAATGAAACAAAATCTCTAAGTGTAACAAAAATGACAAAAGTATAAAGCTAATTTAGAATGTCATTAAAAATATATACGGAAAGTTAACTTTTAACTTTTATAAAAAGATGTTGCAGCAGCAAAGAATAAAAGGGGAAAGCATACTAATTCTCCTTTTGAAGGTTTTGTTTTAAAAACACTATTTCTGAATAAGATGGAAATAATTCCAAAAGTTTTTTTTGTTTTCATTTTAATTAGGTCAGCAGAATTATGAGAGATACTGAAGGACAGTGGATAAGGAGAAAAGAAATTAAGCCATCTTCCCCCCACAACTAAAGCACTACTGACAAAACAAATATCATTTACATCATTTTCTTCCACTTCATTAGTGTTTAAAGCTGTGGGTAGTCACTGACATAATGAAATGATTAAGACATATTAAAACTGTAACTTCATACTATCCCAAGTGATATAGTTCATAATATTAACTTTAAAACTCACACAAGTAATCACAGATAAAATGTTCTACTGCTGTATATAATACAACAGCCTAGCTTATTTTGTCTCAATAAATAGGATATGTGTATGGCATAAGTGGGTCATTACACAGCAATAATTAGATCCTCTAAGAAATGATTCAGAGGGAAAAATATATATATCATACATAAGTATAGCAATAATCACATCATCCCAAGAAATGAATCAGAGAAAAATAAATAAATTATATATATAAACTGATTTATAATTTGGATGTGAAAAGTAATCTGACAGGTAAGGTTATTAAATGGAAGATTTCATTCTAACTCTGTGATTCAGGCATACTAGAGATATGTGTTACCTCAACAATATCCGAGTTGGTTCTGCTTTCGTGAGGTTCGTTATATTCTGTATACTTGAGAAGAACTTTGTCCATGTCAGTGCTGGCATACTGAAACAGTTTGTTAGAGCTGTTGAAAATGATGAGTGCTATTTCACAGTCACAGAGCACACTAAGTTCATAGGCTTTCTTCATTAATCCAAACTTTCTCTTTGTAAAAGTGACCTAGACAATCAAAGAAAAAAAGGTGTATTTTTAGTAAAAGCATTAGCAGTACCAGAATGCAGGCTACCTAAAGATAAGTCCTCTTTTAACACTGAGTCAGATTCCAAGATGAAAAAGGTTCCTAGCCTCACACTCCACATGAGACTCTACTCCCCCATGTGCCACAAGACTACAGTCCTACATTTAACTTCTATCTCCCAACAGTGCAGTCTCCTGAGGAGATGTGCCTTTATTTATCCTTAGCTGCCAGTCTGCTGCAGAAGGCAAAGAACCAGTGGACACAGCTGATCGCTGGTCCCTTATCATCCAGTTTAAAAATCCCCAATGTCCTCAAATTCTTCTTTGAATATTTCTTCCAGTTTCTACCTGGAACCACTCACCTTAAGTCCTCTCAAATAGAGACCAATTTTTGTTTTTTAAAATATTATATCTGATATGTCCAAGAGCCTGAAAGATATATCCTTTTTGTTCCCTTCTCTGTCTTACAAATTATTTCTCCTTCCTTCTCCTTCAAAAACTTCAGATACTTTGAAGTTGACACCATGAAATTTATACTACCAAATAATTCTCCTTGTAATGGGCACCAGATGACCCCCTTAGGCACTGATAACTATCATCTGATACTTCTCTTTCTAACCCTACTTTTATCTCTGGTGACTTCAGTATCTGTGTAAAAAAATCACTGCAAAAACATCTCCCAACTCCAAACGATCCACTTCTACCACATGTCAAGAACCCACTCCTACTGCTATACCTTTACCTCTGCCATCACCAATAATCACCTCTAAAATCTCAACTTCATGTATTCCATTTTGCCTATCTAGCTCTTCTATTTTGTGTCATTTCTCCAGAAATTCTTTAACCTTTATCCAGTCCTCTAATCCATTCACCTCACCACTTTGTTACGTCTATTCTCATGTCCTTTCTTCCCTCTCTAGATTTCATGGTCCATCACTACTTTCACTCCCTTAAAAACACACTTACTTTACCCTTCTCTCATGAACATACTTGCTTGGCACAGCCCCAACCAGGAACTAACCCCCATACATATACCAATTATCCCTACATCTTTATCCAAGTAGCTGACAACTACTGGGAACACACAGGCAAGACACACACACACACACATCCTCTGGTGTTTCTAAACTCATGACCATATCTCAACTGACACTCAACACTGCCTAACCATCATTACTTGGTTTATTTGTCTCTCATTAGCCCATTCTCCAAGTCAACTATTTCCCACCTTCTCTCTCTCAAATCCACTCTCTGCTCCTAACTTTGCCTCAAGCCTCTATTTATCAGACTGCCTGTAAGCTTCAGACTTGGGCTCCCTTCTCCTCTTTACCCTCACAGTCCTTGCCAAGTGACTGCATCCAGTTCAATGATTTTAAAAACTAATATGCTCTTTCCACATTCTTCTCCTTTTCAGCACATGGCACCACCTCCCATTCACACAAAACCAAAAAACATGTAAGGGTTATCCTTGATCCCTCTTATTCCAATAATCTGCACTATCCAATCCATCAGCAAATTGTGGCAACTCCACCTCTAAGACACATCTCAAATCTATTCACACCACTACCACCCTGGGCCAAGTTATATCACCTCGCATATATACTGAATTTCCTGCTTCAACTATTGTACTCTACAATATATGTGCCACATACCTGCTCAAGTGATATTTTTGAAACATAAATCAAATTATGTAAGTAGAAATTCAGAACTTTTCACTGCACTAAAAGTAATACCCAAATTCACTAAGCAAACAAAGTTAATTCCTGGCCTCAAATTCTCTATCTAAAGTTATTTCCCTTCACTCCCCTCTACAACCATTAAACTTCACTGATGTGTGTGTATGTACATATGTGCGCACATGTATCTTTCTAGCACCCAGCTACTTTCCTCCTTAGGAATTTTGTTATTTTCCCTATCTGTGGAACATACTTCACACTACATGTTCCTAATGGTTCCTTTCCTCACCTTTTGAAAATACATCTCTTATCAGTATTTAATGTTTAAAAAACTCCTTACAATATAAATACACAAATATATTAACTTTATATAAATGTATATATGTGGAATATAATGTTTTATGCTTACCTCCCTACTTTTCCTTGCACCAACATAAGCCCCTTAACCAATGTTTCTGATTTAGTATTTTTCATTCTATATTTTTGTACAAGATCGCATAACCATAATCTCACACACACACACACACACACACATACACACACACAGAAGTGATTTTGTTAGCCATTTTATAAAACTGAGACTCTATCAATACTCTTTATTTCACTCATTCAACCACACCTTGTGGATATACCTCTAAGTCAAATGGTATACTAAAGTATCCTTTTAAATAACTTAATAATTTTTTCATATAAATATTACAACTGTTTTGCTAGTATGAAGATATAAAATAAAACTCTCATTTCTTTAATATGGATTTTCCTAACTAGTAGTGATTAGACATCTTTTTCTTGTATTTGTTGTTATTTGAGATTTGCTTTCTCCAATCTATCTTTTGATCATTTTTGTATTCTGTGATGTGCTTTTTACTTATCTAAGTAAAAGCTCCTTGTACAGATATATTAACTATATTTTACAAATACCTTCCCAAATTTCTCATTTATATAGTAACTTTGTTTACAATAATAATTGTCATTAAAAAGTTTTAAATTTTTATTACTGATTACAATATCGTGTCTCAGAATCCTGGCATTATATTATACCACCATAAGAATATAATGAATATAAGAATACCATTATTAAGGTTTACTCTTTTAAAAATATTGAACTTGATATCACATACGTCTTGCAATGCACCTATATGTACTTGCTGCACTAAAACACTGAATTTACCAAAGTTTAGTTAGAAATGCTTTTCCAGGGGCACATGGATGACTCAGTCAGGTAAGTGTCTGACTTTGGCTCAAGTCATGATCTCACAGTTCTTGAGTTCAAGCCCCACATCAGACAGTGCTGTCAGTGCAGAGCCCGCTTCAGATCCTCTGTCCCTCTCTCTCTCTCTGCCCCTCTCCCGCTTGTGCTCTCAAAAAAAAAAAAAAAAAAACATTAAAAAAATATTTTTCCAAACTTCCAGTACTGAAGAGGAAGAAAATGACAATCAGCAAAGCAAAGCAAAGCATTGATTCCAAGAATAATCCTTACTCTAGTCAAAGACTTTCAAATTAAGTTGAGTTCTGAACAAGTCAGCATTAAGACCAAGACAAGTAATGCTGCTTCACAGTATCCATTAAGAAGATGGAAATCTACAGTTCACTATAAGTAAAAAGAGGAAGCAAGTCCCTGTTTTCCTTTCCAAAAATACTTACTGAAAAGCATTTCTTCTAAGTTATCAACCAGAAAGAGCTCGAGATGAAAAAAGGAGTTAGTAGAGGAAGGGATTCAATTTATAATAATCTCTATTCCTCCAACTTACTCCAGACCAAAAAGAGTTTTTCAGAAAAATGTGCATAAGAATACACTTAAACTTCAATGATGCCAAAAACATAACATTGAAAACTATACTATACTGCACTTTCAACTTTTTGAATAAAATCTTTTTTCATCTATCGATAGTACTTAAGTCGGTTTTTTAAACACCCTGGTTTACTGCTAACAACTTATATGAGAATAATAATATAAAATTAACTTTATATTCTTATAAAGTCATCCTCTTATTATTTTAGATTTCAAACTTACAGAAAATTTTCAATAAGTAGTACAAAATTTTCCATGTATCTTCAACCAAACCCCCAACTGTTAACATTTTACCATGTTTGCCTTCCCTAAATAAACACATACACACAATTTTTTTTCTGAATTCTTTAAACTACGATAGAGGTTATAAAGTTGTTTTACCCCTAAATACTTTCTTAAAAACAAGGACAAATACAATTATGAAAATCAGAAAATAAGGATATAGCACTATTATCTATTTTACAAACTTTATTCAAGTTTCTCAATTATCCCACTAATTTATTTTATAGGGGAAAAAAAATCTTTTTTCCCTGGCTGCAGGATCCAATTCAGGATTCGATGTTGCATTCAACTGCATCCTCTTTAATCTGAAATATTTCCTCAGTCTGTCTTTCAAGACCTTGGCACTTTTGCAGAACACAGGCTATTTATATTGCCATATGTCTTTCAATTTGACTTCAATGTTTCTTTCTGATTGTTTAGACTGCATTTTAACAGCTAAGAAGTGATATTCTTTCCACAATATGTCATGTGAAAATGCACGTGACATCTATTTGCCCCATAACTAGTATTGTTAACTTGGTTAAAATAGTGTCTGCCACATTTTCCCCTGCAAAGTTACTATTTTTTCCCTTTATAATTAATAAGTATCTTATAAAAATTTCCACATAAATATATTGTTCACTTATCAAACTTTAACAAACTGACTAGCATCTATTCATGATTCTTGCCTAGGAGATTATTACAGTGGTGGTTGTCAAATGGGGATTTTTCTCATTTCATAATACACTGTATCTATATTTACTACTAGTTGTATTTTATTGTAAGACAGTTTTCTTTTCCTCCATTTACCCATTCATTCATTCACATCTGTATCAACTCATAGGCTATTTTATTCTATGAGTTATAATGAGTTTATTTCTTTTGATGGTCTTTGATTTTACCAGCAAGAGATCCACTACACTGGCTCCTTTGTCCACCTGACATGTTCCCAATATGTTTTGAACTTGCTGGCAGTGAGATATTCCAGGTTCATCCTGTTCTTTCCCTACCCCAGCCCTAGATGCCGCCATTTCTTCAAGGAACTGATTCTTATGGTAGAGAATTATATTTAGAAAGGAAGACTCGGATGGTAAGTTACTGGGTGTTATGGTTTCTAGGCCCCTTTGCAGATAGAGCTAGAAAACATACATGTACACACACCCCTACCTCAACATCTCTTAGTATTTTAATCAAAGTACGTTAAGACCTACAATTCTTCCAATTCCACCAGCAGGTCTATAACACAGGGTTTA